CTTGTGGCTGTGCTCTATTATATTCCTATAATCCCTCTGTGAAATGGCAAAGTCACGAAGATCTATATGTTGCTCAGTTTTCCCACAGTTAAGCAAAATGAAGCTCTTCACAGCTCACATTTATAATTGACCTGGACACACACTTTCTAGGAGAATCTGGGCAAGGCATGAACTGTGGTCCAGGGTAGTCAGACTTTATCTGCTCTTTTTAGTTATCAAGAATAAAATAACAGCATCAAGCCTATTGATTGATCAGTCAGGTATTTATTTGTGGTTTTAACATGCAAAACCAGTATAACAATTATGGAATTTAGAAAAAATATAGCACTGAAAAAAGTATTCATGCAGAATGAGACTTGTACTTGAACTATCCTCCACAATCACCAGTTAGTTGATTTGTCCCAATATTTATAGTTCATCATTACAACTGCCAAAACTGGCAACCAGCAGGATTGTTGTCTCAATTAAGGACAGTAAACAGATTGTCCTATTTTTTTAAATGAAAAAATCTAAAATGTAATACTTCACAGTTTAACATGTTTATTCATTTAAATGAGCTAAAAATTAGTTGTGTGACATCTGTTTGAGAGACACTGGTACCTAACATTTTGGCTGTCTCCCCATCAATTTGATTGTGATTGAGGGGGGATAAAGGGATGAGTAGAGGATTCTGTCAATCGAATGCATTGATGAACTACAAAAAATATTTTTTCATTCTTGGAAATGTGTAGAAATACATATACAAAAATGCATTACAGCAAACTAAGAGGATGATGGGGAAAAGTGTTGCAAAATATCTCCATCAGCTCTTTCAGAGAAAAATATTGTAAGCATAAGATCACAGACAATCTTTGCCAGTTTATTCATCTCATGGCTTCATTTTCCCAAAGTGCAGGCATAATCCACTATAAAATCTTTTAAGAAGCAATTCCAACATCACATTTTTGCTGTCTTATTGATGTGCCATATTGTTATTTTCTTAGTCATAACCACCACTAATTATTATGCTACTTAAGTAAAACTTGAAATGCAATCAAGATCTGCAGTATCCTGCTTGTTGGCAGTATAACTTGCCTACTATGCTTTTCAAGTACAGTCCTTTACAGAGAATTGTCCTGAATGTGTTTGACCTTCACCAACTTGTTCAGTTGTGCCTTACAGGCACAATCCCATATCAATCATCACTCTACTGGGAGCTGCTAGCAACATTTTCCTTCTTGAAAGGGCAGCACTAAAAACTTGGCCCTAAGTCAACAGATAAGCCTCTTCCATGATAGCAATTTTCATGGAAATGGTATGAGCAGTTTTGCAGGGCTTTCACTTTGCTTTCCTTTAGGATAGTTTAGTAGGGTTGTTTCAAAACTCTTGACTTGGAAACACAACTTTTCAGTTAACTGCTCTAGAGGACACCCGAGCAAACAGATGACTCTGATCATGTTGTGGCTATCTGCAGTTATGTGTTGAGGCACGATCTCGCAGTCTACATGTTGTCTCTGCTACAGCTGGTCCGATGCATGGAAGGAGCTATGACCAATCCTGAATCACATGATGTCTATATGATATGCAACAGTGAACTTTAACTAAAGCATTCTTCAAGAAAAGCTTAAATGTATCTCTAGGGTCTCTTAGAGAAATTCTTAACATGCCTCCTAAGCTTCCAGTAAAATGTATTTATGGACTCTAGGTAGTAGAGTTAAAGCCCTTCCTTGGCAATGTTCACTAGGAGCCCTAGTAAAACTACTACACTGAGGCTTCTGTCCTGAGATGGTCTACATGCTGGTTCTGCTTTTGTAGGATCAAAGAGAAAAGCAAAACTGCTGAGGAAAGATTTACTGAGCAAAATCAGTGCTGGAAGACTGTTGTGCCTTCCTAGCCAAAGACTCTTCCAGACAGGACATCTGCTCCCACCCACAGCACAAGGACTCAGTATAGGCATCCTCTCCACAACCTCTGCTGGACAGAAATTCAGTTACCCCACAGGCAGAGGGCAATGACACTACTGCTGTCTACCCTTTCCCCAGAGATGAAGATCCTTGAGTAAACCTGTCTCATTAAGCCAGGTTTGCTATGTAAATGACTTGATCAGCAATTCTTCTTTGAAACAAACATATAAAAGTATTACTTTTATAATAAAGTCCATTTGTCTGAAGTGATAGAGCTACATGGAACAACTCTGTCGGCAAAGAGAGCTCTGCTCTATTGGTATTGGGTAGGATGCCAAAGGAAGTTCTCTCCATTGTATTTAAGTATTCATAGGCCACAAGCCACACTTAATTTTAATATGAGCCTAGGGGCTAGAACTGCCTAGAAAAATCCAGATAATCTAAAACTGCTCACATTTGAACATTGTGCTGTCTAGATTGCTTTAATGTCCTTTCAACTGTATATATAATTCAGTGTGTTCAACATTAATAAGAGAACCAATATAGTAAAAAATCATTTATTAATAAAATAGACACCGAGCAACTCATACAAGATAGGTGGTCCAAAACCCCAGAGGCATATTCCAATGCCAGATATAATTAAAGGCAAAATAAGACATATGTCCAATTAGAAATTATTGCACTGATAAAAGAAAAAGTGTATTTGCTGCAATATTTACCAGCTATTTCTACTTACACTGAACAGAAGTCTATTCAGTCTATCTAAGCAAAAAGAAATTTTCTTGTTACATAAGAATATACTTCCAATACCTGAAGGGGGCCTACAAGAAAGATGGAGAAGCACATTTTACAAGAGCATGTAGTGACAGAACAAGGGGGAATATATTCAAAGAGAGTAAGTTTAGATCAGATATTAGCAAGAAATTCTTTAGTGTGAGGGTGGTGATGCACTGGAACAGGTTTCCCAGAGGAGCTGTGGCTGCCCCATCCCTGGATGTGTTCAAGGCCAGGCTGGACAGAGCTCTGAGCAATGTCATTTAGTGAAAGGTGTCCCTGCCCATAGCAGGGTGGTTGGAACCAGAAGATCTTTGTGGTCCCTTCCAACCCAAACCACTCTATGATTCTATGATCTTTCATGTAAATGAAAAGGCCTAATCTAAACAGAGCCAACAAACAAAGTGCAAACTATGGCACTTGTTGGCAAGACGGTCTCATAAGCCATACATTAGGGAAGCTGCTAGAATCACACATACACACACTTCGGATTTTGCCCAGCTCCTAATTATGGGAAATGCAATCTTCCTGTTCTAGGAACTTCATCAGTTTGACAGTAAGAATTGATTGCTTTTTAATGTAACCAACTCAAGAAGCAGGTTACGAGACAACCTGCATGAAGGGAGTAACTACCCATCTTTGTCAGGCAACACATTACCCAGACAGCTACATGCAGATTGTAAGGAAGCAATCTTTCCAGCATCTTCTAGAGCAAAACAATTGCTCATGCAAAGTAACAGGAGAGGTCTGCAGCTTCTGTGACATGTAGTGGGGCACTGGTGAAGTGAAAGGCATGTCACATCCAAGGACACAGCTTGTGATATGCTTTTCCCCCCACTGAAAGTTGGGCCACGTGTCAGATAATGCTTCATCATAAATTCAACATGTTGCTAAGTGTTTGGTCATGTGTGTGAATAGTAGTGGCCTGTTAAGTCATATGCATGCATAAATGTTAGGATTTTTTGTCTGTAACAGTCATAACTAGAAAATGAGAAATATTTGCACATATATGTTTCTCTTTCATGTTCTTGGAAGACTGTTGCACTCAATTTCTAGAGGAGTAGTTTAGCATTGCATAAAGTGAATGAGGAGCATGACAGATAAGAAGTGGATCCTTAGAGGCTCATAATGTATATGGTCATAGCTACTTTATGGTTTAAAAATTAACTGTATTGATCCAAGTTTCGTAAAGTGGTGATAATGGGACTGTGTCAATTTAAAATACATTTATTTCCCATTATAATATTTGCTGTGATTTGTATCCTTTTGTCTTCAAAATCACTATAAGAAATCATAGACACCTCTGGAACAAGAGAGTAAATTTAACTGCATTAGCAATTAAACCTAACATTCAGCCCTGAAATTGGTATCAAAGGTAAAGTCAAACTAGTTTGCTAATAGAATATGAAAACCTTTCTGGAAGTCAGTCTGCCTGACTTCCTTACCACATTCAGCATCAGTGGCTCTATGCTTGTCTTAATATCAGAGTGAATCCAACCTAGAGAAAGACTGACCATATTTTTAAAAGGATCAAAACTGAACCTTTACAACCACAAGCTCAGTTATATGCCAAACTTCAAGCAGAGTAGGATAAAGCCAGAATTTTAAAGCTCCCTGCAGCTGCTCTGGCATACCAACTTCTTCAAGTGGTTTGTGGCTATCAAAAGGATCAGAAACGTTATCTACAGTGCATATTCTGAAAGGTACTTTGCAAGAACTGAAGGATGTCATGGAGCCAAGATTTACCCAATTATCAGTATGCCTGAAAAAAAGAAAGGTTTCTTATTACTTACAACTTCTGACATTAGTTTGATGATTAAAATGATTGTATAGCTTGGAAAGGAATGCCTTTTTACAACATCCCCCTAACAGGTAGAGAAAGTTGATACTGCAACCAGGAGGAAGAGTATAATTAAAATACAATTTTGAGTTTATATTAATAATAGACCAATACACTAATTAAACACAACATTGACTGAACTTTCTATTTACACTAGTTCAGACAGCACAGGAGGCAAAGAACTGTGTTTCAGAAGCATATGCGAATGTTAGAGCTTCTGTCATCCAGGTGCCATTTCTAACAGAACACATGTGTGCTGAACAGTTGGCAAAAGAATGAAAAAGATTACTGCAGATATATGGGCACACAGAATCTGGGATGACATAAAATTAAGTCCATATAGGAGGTGACAGACTGCTTCTAAAATGATATTTTTTTCCTACAATTTCTTCCATCTTCATGCATGCGTGTGTGCACACATGCACAAGAAAGATTAAAAGGAAGAGAAAAGATGAGGGGGGTTTGATATATTTTAAATACAAATGAAGAAAAGGCTTTTTATTTGGTATTTCTGCTTTATTTTGGGAAAGGAAAAGGAAACTAATTTGGTTGTTAGTAAGCTTTGATTCCTAAATTTGGTCAAGGGAGACACTCCTCCTGTGAAGTCAGCATCAATACCCATGACAATAACAGCACCTGCCTTTGACATCAAAGTTCTCTGGCTGAGAAAAAAATAATGTAAACAATAAACTTCATGTATTGTACTGATGCTCCTGGCTTTGGTGTTAATCAAATATACTTGGCCAGGCATGAGTGTTATTCTGGAGATCTGGAATGTAAAAGTGACTGACGTATTGCAAAACTTTCTTATTAATTTGGACTGCAAGAAATGGCATCATTTACGGTCTCAAGTAAAGGGACTGTGTATTCCTACGTAGTCTTGTTGAAGCTGAAGAAATCTTGATGATAGATTCATTGCATCTGCTAGTTTTCCTCTGGATCCAGATCAAGGTCAACTTCATTGGAAATGTTAAGATAAAAGAAAGCATAGAAAGCCAACAAAAATACCAGTATAGCTGCAAGGACAAGGGCAACTTCCTGTAGAAATAAGAGAAAAAAACAACAAACCAAAACCTGTTAGAAATACCATCAGGAATAAATATTATTTCCCTTCTATAATGCATCTCAAAACAGCATCAAATGTATATAATTGCAGAAAGCATTGATGCTTTAATGATTTCTTTTTAGTGATTACCATTTCAAATGTTGCAAATCCATTCACTTCATAAATATTCTGATATACTGTCAGGAAAAGGATATTTGGCTTAAAATTCTTTGGTCTGACCTAGAAATAGGAGCTTTATATCCCTTCATTATGCTATCCATTCTTTTTTAAAAGTAAAGACAGAATTCACAAACCACAGTTTTGAACACAAATTTAAGTTATGAATTTACACTGTGAATTTTGATGTTTTCTAGCAATATGTTACTGCTTTTTGCCAACAAATTTGTAATTTTTTAATGAAGCAAACACAGTATGGTGGAAGTCAATGAAAATTGCTACCTCTACCTCCCAACCTCCTGGCATGCATCACAATATGGAGCTACAAAATCCTTCAGAATTGGATGAAACTTTTCTTTTTTCCCCTATGCAATAAGGCAAAAAGCACAACAATTTGCACTTGCACTTGACTCTCTTCCCATAAAATATTGCAACTTGCTGCATCTTCCTTAATTAACATAAAAGAGTCTTCCAAAGTATACATGATTTATAGCAGCTTTCAGAAGCAGAAAAATGTTTTTGTACTACACGTCATACTCATTATGTGACTGCCTATCATCCTAAGGCTGGACTCTGTTAAGCTCTGACTTTAGATCTCTGATATAATAAATCATAGGATGATCATCCTCTATAACACTACTTCTTTCAAAGTCACTGTAGTTCACATTTTAAAGTTCTTATTTTTCTGTAAGACACAGCAAACTTCCTATAATGTTGACTCTCATTTTGCTAGACAATGAAAGAAGAAAGGCTGAAAGAAGAATAACCAATTCAGAATTGGTACAGGAGATGCCACATCAAACCCTCTCTGCCAGTGGGACTGAAAGGAGATGACTACACCACACTCAGACAACAAGACACTCTTTGTCATACAAGGACAGAATCTGACCCTCTTTGGTCTAAGATTCACTGTATCCTCTAAGAAAGGCCTGGTGAATTCTTCCCCAAAATGCACATTTCTCCCATTAGACTAGAAGGGGAATGTAGATGGCACTGTAGGACGAATCCTATCCAGTACCTCCAGTTGGTGGTGGCTTTGTGACCGGCTTTGTGTATCCACTGCCATGAAGGAGTTAAAACTGTGTTTCATTTTTTAAAGTCTAGCCCATAATCTGGCATTCTTCTATAGAACAGCATTTCATTTGCATTTACATGAATGCATTATATAGTTTATCAGAATGTTGGATCAATAATTCAACATATGCCATCTAATAAATTTTGAAATACTACTGCCTAGTTGGCATATGCTCTATAGGAACATATTCTTTGTTCTATAGAAACCTTTGCTTTACACTTTATATGGATGATTAATTGAGATGTACTTTAAATTTGTTTTACCACATTAAAATTGCTCCTCGAAATTTGCTGAGGCTGTTGTCTACAGATTTCATCTACATTTTCCTCTTAGAATTATGTCATCCTCTGAACTTCACCCTACTGATTTTGTATGATTTTATTAAAAAAAAAAAGACAGTACATCTAATTCACTAATATATTAAAGCAAAGTGATTTTTGCTTTGTTGCAGTTGCAACACGTCAGTATCTCACAAAAGGGCATGGCAGCATCAGACAGGTTTCATTTATTTCCTTGTATCCACAGCTGTGCTCCCAGACCCATCTGGCCACACAGCTACTAATCTTAAGAGGATGTAATAAACAAGTGACATACAACTGCAAGCTCCATCTGCTCAGGAGAGTGGACAACAAAACCATACAATGCAGGCACCGTTCACACTTGACACAGAGAGCAAATTCATTCCAGTATTAGAAAGTTTTTTCCCTTGTTTGGATGCCACGCTTGCCACGCTTTTTGCTTTACAATGAGCTCACCTTTCCCCTTCCTACTCCCCACTCTCCCTTCTGAAATGCTGTGGTAGCAGCAGCAAAATTTTGAGGAATCTTTGCTTTAAAGACTTGTTTCAAAGGAAGTGGAATAGGGAAAATCTTGATTTTTATTCTCAGGCTGCCCAGTAACTGCTTGATGGGAGCTGTTCCTTAATTTCTCTGCCTTAATTTTACAATGAATAAGACAGTGGTAACAGTGCTACTTTCCTTACACAGCCATTAGGAACTTCATAGCTGGATCAGTATTTATTAACCCTGGGAATGAAAAGCTGTATTGAAATTCCAGGTTTGAGAATTACGCAAGAACCTTAATTTTGAGTTAGGGAAAAAAAGCAGCGTAACAAAAACCTAAAATGAATGGCCTAGCAAAGACACCTGGCTCTCAGCTAGGGATATGCAGTCTCTTAAGCACTGAATCCAGTTTACAAATTTTATACACATAAATTTTGCAATGTAAATAGCAAACGAGATGCTACACCACTATACTGTATTTGCAACAACAGTATATATTGTCATTTTAATTTGTTTTATACTTATCAGGCTTTGCTATTTGTATTTTAAGTCATGCATAGAAATGAAATGTTAAAATACTCCCTGCTTGGCATATATAGCTCCCGTTCTCTTGCTCTTTATGGATCATCCCCATCATCCCTCTACGAAATCCATTTACTCAGAGGATTTCACCATGAATAATTAAAGAATAGAGAAAAGGTCCTATAGAAATAAACTTAAAATGATCAGAGGGCTTTTCCTCCTTTTTTTCTTTTATATCATGTTACAGAACACTAGGAAACAACATCCCTGTTCTCAAATCCCAAAGTACAGTCAAAGAAGCCTTTAAAAAGGAACAGAATTTTCTATTATATTCTCTTATATTTAGAATAATGTCTGTAGAACCCTACTGATTTCAGCTTGGTTAAGTTTTTCAGAAACTTTTCCATAAAAGAAACGCATGCCATTACAGCATAATGTAGATTTAATTCTCCTATCACTTTTTGTCAGTTTTATGTCTCTCATGCCAAAATACTTGGATAATGTCCTCAGTTTCACCCTGGTGGAGCAAGTGGCAGAGCTGGAATCTAAACAAGATTAATTAGGATATGGGGTGAGGAAAAAATGTTGGCCTATAATAACACAAATTTGGACACTGTGTATGGCAGCATCATATCCTACACATACATAGAAATAGCATACTTTCATGAAATTTCAGGGGAGGGTTACATACTTTTTTATTGTCCTCCAAGGTGAATTATACCTTTTTTTGCCTGAAACCAGCTTAAAACTAGGTGAACGAGTACCACAAATTGCTCTCCTTGAAATACTAAACTACCCCTAGCTATTTCTGAAAAGAGATGAAAAGAAAATCATGGTGACCAAGGATACCTGTAGAAATGAACCAAACATACATGAACTTGACAATCACCATTTTATCCCATACAATTTTTAACTGGAAGACTTTACCTGGACATTCATGGTGACCATTTTTTAAGAGTTTCAACAAAATCATATTTAAAAATGTATGCTTACTTCCTTAATGCAGGACACACTACATCTAAAACAAGGCAACAAAAGCAATTAATTAACTTTTATCTGTACTACTTATGAGAATAAGGCACTATATTGCAGAGTCATCTAAACAGCCTGGGTATATGACCACCAAGCAACAAGACTTGTTTTAATATAGCTAAATGAAAAATAATATGTACAGGTATCAAAGATGTAGATAGTACTTACAAAGTGGAAAAACCATGACTCTAAAAAAGGTCTTTGGATTTCAGGGGTAACTACTCCCTCAGTGTGATCTCTGGATGTGCAAAGGCAGAGGGATTTCCAGTAGGGAGATGATGGGTATTTATTTTATCATAGAGAAGAAGGAAAAATAGTTTGGTTACAGCATATAACTATATACACCTGTATTTAAACAAGGCACTTCACAGTGTGGGGTCCTTCTATCCTGTTTACAAGAACCTCTCAAGGTTCAGCTGCAGTTAGATAAGCTCAGTCTTGAAAAAAGACGCTATTTCCTAGGAACAAGAATGACTGAACATTCCAGTTCCCTCTTGGGGAAAATATGGACTTCTGTGGCTGTAAATCTTTTATCATCAGATCTCTCTCTCAAAAAAAGTACATTTTTATGCAACTATTGGGAAGAATAGTTCAACTTGGTCTTATGTGAAAAGGAAGTCATGGTTACCAGACTTGGAGTTGGCAAACTCAGCCCTCCAGGCTGCTTCCCTCCTTCAGGGCCCTGGAAAAACTGGGATTACATACATGGTCATTGCTATATTCTAAATCCCTGAAGTATCAGCTTGTTAAAAGTGTTAGAGACTAGTCATAGAGACCAAAGTCTGAGGAAGATGGACTACTGCTCTGAAATGGTACAGAAAATCCTCCTAAGCTCCTGCTTGGTGCATCTTGCTCACAAGCTCAAACCACCATGACTACTACTGTACTTAAGTGTACAGGTCATGCCAGGGGCTGATTTGTCATTGTACATGTTGTTTCCCCTCCCTTTCATTTCAAGGCCAGGGATCAAAGCCTGACTACTGTGATCACTGGGAATATCACACTTTATTCACTGGTGACACATTAAGCTGCTCTGCACTTTGTGAGGCACATAAGATGGTTTGAAGACCCAGTAATTTAGATGTTACAAAATGCCTGGCCTTTGTAGAAAGTATTTGGATGAAATTTTATGATCTGTAACCTATAGAAGTCCAGATCAAATGATCTAATAGACTCTTGTGGCCTTAATTTCTGCAAAACTATGAAACTGTATCTTGGCAAATGTAGTTCACTAACGTAGCAGATCATGAACAGCGTGAAATCAGAGCATATCCCTTGCCAAAATACACTAGAAATGTCTTGTTATCTATTCATACATAACTTGTTCCAGATGAGATAAACTCTTCATAGTGAGGCAGCTAGCTACACAATAGATTAGCTAGATATGCAAAAGAATGACAGACAG